GGGCCGCCCTGTCGCCAGCCCCCGGCACCCCAGCGTGGCCGCCTCGGGGCACTCCCACACCAGCCTGGGTGGCGAGAAGGCGTCGGTGCCCTCGCTGGCCGAGCTGGAGTTCCGCCCGCCCTCGCCCATCAACCTGAGCCGCAGCATCGACCAGGCCCTCTTCAGGGAGCACCTGGTGCGCGACAGCGTCTTCCTGCGCTGCAGCCTGCAGTGCTCCAGGCGCCCAGACTCCTGCTCCTCACTCCGCAGGAGCTCCCTGCTTGCCCCCATGGCTAGCCGCTGCTTGCCCGCCAAGGCCTGGCCACGGGCCGCGCCGCAGCAGCGGCGCCGACTGCCTGGCCCGCTGCAGCTCGCTCAGCGACCTGCCCTCCTTGCGCCCCAGGGGCCTGCCCAGCGAACCCCGCACCGAGGGCACCATCTCCGGCAGCTCCTTGGACAGCTTCTCCCGGGGCTCCATGAAGATCAGCTGGAACCCCTGGCGCCACGGCCTGTCCTCGCTGGAGAGCCTGCCCCTGGAGGAGACGCCCAGCCGGGCCCCGCTGCTCCCCAGCGAGGCGCCCGCGGGCGAGGCCGGAGACTCTGAGCGCGAGGCCAGGAGGAGCTTCCTGGCGCTCAGCAAACAGGTGGATTCCCGCAGCCTGTCGAGTGACACGATTGAGCTGTGACGGGCGGTCCCAGCCCTGCCCCGGCGCCGCAGGCTGCCCCCACCAGGGCCCTGCCAAGGCCAGGAGGAGCCGTGCCCAGCACCGGGCTGGCCAGCAACCGGAGCAAGGGCGAGCTGGCAGCAGGGTGGCGCCTACCTCAGCTCCCGCCCCAGGGAGCGGTTCTGGGCTGCCCAGTGGACCAGCCCTGAAGCAGCCGCGCAGAGGGCCGGGCCCCCAGGAAGTATGGGGCGGGGGGTGCTGCTGTGGATCAGTTTGTGCCAAAAGAAATAAAGTTGCTCTCCCAGGGCCCCAGGGCTGGAGCCGTTCTTCCAGGGCCGTGTCCCACAGCCGGGCCCCTCCACCCCATTCTGTTGCAGGCCGGGTTCGTGTCCCCTCTGCCCAGCCCGCTGGTGCCTTGCTGCCACCCCTGCACCAAGCCCATGGCCCCGGCAGTGCAGCAAGGTCACAGCCGTGGCTGCTGGGGGGCGCTACGGGGGGGCCCTTCTGTTCTGGGGCTGAGATTTGGATGCCAGACCCAGCCCAGCAGCACCAGGCTGTGCGCACAGGCCCGTAGCACACAGGGGGGCGGGGCACGTGCCCATAGGCGGCGGGGCAGGGAGCCCCCCCCCCCCCCAAGGCCACGAGGGGGACAGGACCTGGGGGGGCTGCCCCACCCCCTGGGCTTGTGCCACCCTGTGGCCAGGCCCAGCTGCTGTCCTTGCCCACGCTGCCCTATGCCTGTGCCCCAGGCAGGGAGAGGGGGCCCTGGACTCAGGGCAGGGCTGTGTGGGTGGGGGCTATGGGCACGGGGGGGCTGTTTCCCCCCACAGGCCAGGGCTTGCACAGCATGCCCCCCCAGTTCTGCTTGGCGAGGTGTGTGTGTGGGTGGGGGCTATGGGCACGGGGGGGCTGTTTCCCCCCACAGGCCAGGGCTTGCACAGCATGCCCCCCCAGCCCTGCTTGGCGAGGTGTGTGTGTGGGGGGGCTTATCACTGAGTGGGGCTGCTGGCTGCCACCCCCACACAGCTGTGCAGGGCCCCCTGCCCCCACCTCCTCCAGCATCTCCCCC